CGAGTAGCTAGTGCTTCTACAGTCGTTTCATTGAACAATTCACAAGAACCCTCAAGTGTACATGTGAATTGATTTAAATGTTGACTGTAATTGATCATGAGTGATAAGTCAAATTTCGAGTGGATTTTACTGTCACCATGAAATTGGTCGTTGATCGTGATGGGTCGGATTTGTTCAAGTTGTGCCGTGGCGAGTTGAATGGATTTCATTCCAGATGCAACCGTGTCATTAGCTTGGAAATCGAAAGCGACTTTAATAGAAGTTTCCGATGACACTGAGAATATTTGGAGGAGGCGTTGAAACGGGAAATGGGCGTGTTGTAAACTTTGTTGGTAAAGTTTAGTTATTCGACTGAGACAGTGTTGAAAGTTTGCCATTGGATCAAGCTGAAAACGTAGTGGAATTCTGAAATGCATATACATCTGTTACGCAGGTCCAAACAGCTAGAAGAAAAATAAGAACTTACATATTAACGAACGTACCTATGATGCTTTTCAATTCAGGTTGATATCTATTATTCACATGAATGCCAACGCACAAATCAGTCTCACCAATGGAAAGTTTAGAGAGAAACACACAATAGCATGTGAGCAATAGAGACTGTAGGGATACATTCGTTGCCGATGCATAATCAGTCAGTACTTTTGCTAGATTATCATGGAATTTGGTATTAACTGAATAGGCACAACCAATTGATCGTTCATGAAGTTGGTATTGGTAATCAATTGGGATATTAAGATGTTGATTCCAATCGTAGTCAAACATGATTTCATGCCAGAAAGCACTTGCTTGTCTCATTGGCATGATTTGTTCTGCGATAGCGTCTGAAAATTCCAAATTGAAAAAGCTGAGAAAGAGCAAAAGAATCACCAAGTATTTGGAAACTTACGGTTAATATAATGAAAGTCATGATTACTGCCGAGTAATGCTGTTTCATATTCATAAGCTTTGAATAGATCCCGATAAAATATGTCAAACGATGGAACGTCGAACGCAATTCGATGAAAATTGAAAAGCAAATAGTCTCCTGCTTGGAGAATGTCATTGTCGTCACTGTGTTGTACAACAATGTGAACACGAAATACACGACCATTAAGCAAATCGAAATTTGAAGGGTTACATAGTTCATCAAGCATAATGGCTTTCAAGTTAGTATCACTTTTCAATGTGCTATGAGCAAAGACAAATAGTTCGTCATCATTATTCCTAGGTTGAACGATACGCTGCATCAAGCAGTCGGTTGTAAAATCAAAGAAGAACGATGTTCGCAGAGAACTGTGCTTGGAAACAACGAGTCGAAGAGCGTTTCGAAAACGCTCAATAGAAATAGTTCCTTCTGATAGTCGATAGAAAAATGGCCTGTTGCTTTTTACCACTGATGGATCAGAGTTGATCTGTTCGTCTAGCCAAATGCTTGTTTGAACGAACGAGGCGCGAGCTAAAATAGAAAGATACACAATTCCACAGATATGACAGCAAGTTATTAATGAGTGTTATACCAATCGAATTGATTCCAGTTATTGCTGGAAACTGGGCATGTTGCATATCATCTGCTATTTCCTCTGGTAAAATCAACGATAAATCACTGATTGATTGTTCTATTATCATCATAGTCATTGGCATGGGTGAAAATAATTTTTCGACAGTGAACTGGAATTGTCTAGCCATTTTGACAAGTGTAACGGAGTCGAAAAGATCTCTCGAAACAATCATTTCTGCTCGCAATGAATGTTTGTCAACTCTATATTCTAACGACAGCGTCATATCGAACATAGCCGCAGCAATTTTAGGTGTTCCGATCTGCATAGAATTGCTTTTTAGAGACGATAATGGCCATGATTCAATCATTAATCCATAATCAAGTCGAACGAGTGTTGTGTCGACTTCATCTAAGGTAAACATAGTTCGAATCAAGTTGCCTTGATGCGCACGTCCCATTGAGATTTGCTGTATAATATATTGATATGGTAAGCTTGAATGTGGTTGTACTTCACACATCATATTCGATACTCTACGAAGTAGTTGTTCGAATGTGTCTTGTGGATCGACTTGAAGACGCATTGGAAGAGTATTGACAAACATGCCAATAATCTGTTGAAGTTCTGGCCGATAGCGATTGGCTTCTACAGTGCCAACAATAAGATCTCTTTGGCCACCAGTCAGTTTGAATAAAAAAACATAGTAGATAGTCAGACACACTTGATAAAGAGTGACATTGAAACGTGAAGCATATTGAACAAGTTGTTCGACAATGTGATTTGTGAAATTAATTTCAATGCTTAAACCTTCACCAGTCGTCATGCCATCTGAAGAAGATTCTCGATCGACAGGCAACGCTAGTGACTTTTCAATATTGTAGCCGAGTAGAGCTTGACGCCAATATATTTTAGCTGTGCTCATGTCAATCTGTCGCTCATGAATTGAATCTACAAAATACAGTCTTCGTTAAAATTCTGGGACACCAAGAATGTCTCTCCAAAATTTTATATTCCATTGCAACACAACGTTATCTATCTGATAGGTATATTTACTGATTAAGCTCTAGTTTTATACTATACCGACGTCAAAGATTCTATTAATAATATTACACAAAGACTTAACTACTAACAACATCTAACATATATATAAAGTTTAATTTGAAATAGAATGTAAAATTTTGGAGAGTTATTCTTGAGTGTCTCAGAATTTTTGACGAGAACTATACATACTTAAAGCTATGAGTGACATATTACTACCAGTACTCGATAATTAACAATACTTATTAGTGCTTTTATTACTTATTACTTTGTGTCATCACTTGGCTTTGCTTTTATAATTCAAATAAAAATAGAGAGTTTCTTGTTGCTCGTCAGCGAAATATGAAATAGTTTCTTATTATTTTATCCTGTATAAAAGTGATTAATAAAACAGTAAAAATTAATAACGAGTAAAGAATATTTACTGTAATATAGTAATAACACAAGAATAAATACCCTATGACAAAGATAGGAAAAACAACTAAGGTATTGGTAGATAAATATTATTCATTGATTAAGTATTATCTTCTAGATCTTCTCAAAAAGTCTGATTGCATGGATAAAACAAGTGTGAAAAAGTAAGATTTCAAGACTTTTCGGTTTTCTCAGACTAGAAACTATACGCACATAGACGAGTCGACGTCTAAATGCGAACTTTCTTAGCTATATTCCTAGTAAAACGAAAACATATCTTTAGTCAGTACTTTCCATGCTTTCAAGTATGTTTGGTATTTGTATCAGTCGCTAGCATGCATCAGATATTATGACGCATCCTAAGTTAATTACATTGCTATCAAGTGGTTTTTCTAAGACGTGGCAATAGTCATACCAATTGCTCTATGCTAGCCCGTCAATTTATGTTAACTATATCAATAATAGATAAATATTGACATTAATCCATGTTGAGAAAATCAAATCTAATGTTATCATAATGTCTTAGTGCGAAAGCTAAAATCTAATCGATAAGCAGAAATAATTCTAGTATTTTATTTGTTTATTTGTTTATGACTTTTGTATTACCCTATTACCTTTTTCGTGCTTACATCTTATTATCAGTGATTGTTATGCAGCACTCACACTAAAAGTATAGGCAGATAGTAATCAATAAAACGAAGATATAGTCATCGCCGTATCGGTTTCTTTTACTTAAAAAAGATGAAATTTTTCAAAGTACCTTAAGAATTGTCTTCATGGTCAAAGTTCCTCAAGAATGACACGACAAAGTAATCTATAATCGAGAAATCGAATTAATATCGACTGACGGATCACAGTAGTTATAAAATTAATATTCAAATCAAATCAAGATCTCAGCTTAATTTAACTTACAATCAATATATTGCAGCGTTATCTCTTGATCATCAAACTTAAGATCATGTGTTTGAGTATAGAATTGATGAAGATCGTCAAAAAATATTTGTTCAGATTGACCATCAAACGCAATATGATGAAAATTAAAAATTATCCAATCACCAACGGAAAGAAAGTCATCATTCTCTATCACAACTGTTGAACGTCGGCGCACAATGTGACAGCGGGCGACTTGGCCTGCAGATACATCGAAATATGTTCGATCAGTCATTTCATTAGTAAAAATATTTTCCAACATGCCGTCATCGTCGATAATACTCGTAGAATAGAAAAACCAATCCTGTGCATTATTCAATTGAACGCACTGTGTCAGATTTTCCTCAACTTTATCCAATTGAATTGATGTACGTAGAATAGCATGTTTTCGAGTGATTTGACGAAGAGCTTGTTGAAGACGTTGAACCGACAGAGACCCTTCTGACAAACGATACAGCAGAGGAAGGCTGTAGATAGAGATGTTGTTTTGATTAGAAGAATGAAAACGAATTTGCTCATCTAGAAAAATACGCGATTGCGCAAAGGAGACTTCAGCTAAAACAGAAAGCAAATGAATGCGGCTTTCGTTTAAGATACTATTTCCCTTTCATCTTACCACAATTGACGTGTAAGTGCGACCATGCCTGATAACGTTCGCCAGCGGTTGAACTAACTAGTTCAGTCAAGCGTTCGGCATGTTCGCTGATGGATGCATGACGAAAACAGTCGACTATGTCTGGAGCCATGCCAAATTCAATCTGATAAAGACTATATAATTTCATAAATGCAAGTGACGTTCCATGAAGAGAAAAGAAAGATTTCTTGATTGGAATTTGTTTTAGATGCAACACTTTGCACCACAACTCATGTACACGTTCTTCCATTTTAGTAGCTGATTTCGTGTGTTCGGTCTGTGATTCTATTGAAGTAAGAGATTCAGGAGGAGGCAATGCCCTTCGATCAACTTTTCCATTTGACATTAATGGAAATCGATCCAACGTAATGATAGTTGATGGAACCATGTACGATGGCAAACAAGAGACACAATATTCACGTAACTCTTCTATATTTACCTTGTCTGATACTGCTTCGACGTAGCCTACTAGATGTTCTTGTTCGTGATACATGTACTTGACCACAATACAATTCGAAACAAACCGTGATCCTTTCATGATATTTTCTTCGATTTCACCGAGTTCGATGCGTTGTCCTCGTATTTTCACTTGAAAATCTCGTCGACCAATAAA